AAAGAGGATGCCACCATTCGAACCCAGGCCAGGAGTGTGAAACCATGTTTAGCTTACCATTGCATCGTGAGAACCTTAGCAAATACTACCTCCGTTCCAAAATACTTATCGCTTTCAGTTTTTGTTTGTAAAGTTTGATCATTCATCTTAATCTAAAAATTATTATTTAATTTATATATGACTTACTTTATTATCAAAAATACTTTAAGTATGACTTATCCTTTTAAATATTTGCACTAATTTTTCAAATAAGACGGATGGTCAAACATTGCAAGCAAAAAGTCAAAGCGACAACTAATTTAGGACGGATATAGTAGATAGATGTAATATACATATGTAATTCTAAGGTCTTGTTTGTAGGTGCTTAAGATTTTGAGAATCTATTGGCTGGTAGTTCATTTTCTAAATTCTACAACTACAAATTCTTAGAATTTATGTGATGTTTGGGGGAGCTTCTAGCTACTGCAGCTTTTCCCATAATCAGAAGCTCCCCCAAACAATTCAGTTTTTTGGGCCAGATTCTAAGAAGCTGTAGTTGTATAATTCAGAAAATGAACTAGAAGCCAAAAGTTGGAAACCCCATCTTTTCCAGATTCTCAGAAGCTAGCTACCAACCAGCTACTTCTCAAAATTTTAAGCTCCCCCAAATAGAGCTGGAGATTCTAGGCTACGTTGCAGTAGCCAGAAACTCCCCCAAATAGGCTAGCATGGATATACATGAAGCAAACATTTGTAGAGCACTTATCATATGTTTTAAGTTAAATTTGTTGTCCTCATCTTGCTTGGTACTCAAGAAACATGCAAAAATGTGCAATTGACCCCGACAAGGCCCAACTGAATCGCATTAAAGCTCATAAACCACGACGACTACTCTGCCTCCTTTGTTTACAAGGCTTAACTCCTTGTCTCCATGAAAGTGAACTACAATTTCATTATATGGAAGCCCTATATATGCACTATGGAAGTGCAAGTTCTTCGCCTGGCTAGTCGTGCAAAATAGAGTATGGAAATCAGATCAACTAGCTACTATAGTACTAGGGAATGGTCAAATAATAGCTATTGTCCATTGTGTCGCCACACACAAGAATCATCCACCCACCTATTTGTGGGATGTAGATATACTGAAAAGATTAATTTGGATCTTAGTAGCGACTTGGATCTCCTATCACCAACTTGGGCCCAACCAATGGACAACAATCGACGGTGTACAATAATTAATGGTGGGAAGCGCTAGCATACTACCAAGGATTGCCCAAGAAAGGAGTACGAGCGATATCCTACTTGTGGTTTAGCAAAATTTGGAAAGAAAGGATACTAAGTGTCTTCCAACAATAGGAGCTCCCGACGATCTCAACCCCTTCTCAAAAATAAATGAAGCAGCAAGGATCTAAGACGCTTGTTGGAGCAAACGAGATTACTAGAGATTTTACCAGATGATGTGTATATAATTCCCCGTTGAAGTACTCCGCCCCTAGGGGCCGTAAATCTCTCTTCTTTATTCAAAGAAATAGGCACACATGCCCCTTTGAATCGTAGGAATGAAAAAACGGAGGTATAGGAAAAACATAGGATTCTGACAGGAATGTAAGTGTAAAACAGAGGATTGCAAAACACAAGAAAAACACAGGAATGATCATTTGATTGGACCACAGGAAAAACACAGGAATCGGATGAGAGAGATAGACTCAAAGGATTTTTACCAAGAGGTTGGACCTCTTGCTAAGTTTCCTTCAAAACCTATATGTAACAAGCCATTCCATAGGAATTTTGTAGGATTTGGAAAACTTCAATCCTTTGAATCAAAGAGCTACATTGAAAAATTTCCTATAGAATTTCAATCCTATGAAATTCATTCATAATTCCTTTGATTAAAAGGGGCCCTAAGAATGTTTCATGCATTAGATGATTGAACATGGGGTAATCATACTTGGTTCTTCTTGAATCTCAGCTAATGCGGGTGACATCACATTATCTACTCGCTGTAGCAAAATATCACATCCATATCTCTTTGCCTATCACTTAGGAGATTATTGCAATATGCATGCAGCATACATAAATGATGAGAATATGAGAAAATGCATTATTTTTTTAATGGAAAAGAGCATAGTGCCTTTTCATTGAATAAAATAGGAGAAAATACAACCCCTAAGGGTAAAGAGAAAAGGTGTTACACGTAAAATATACACTATACAAGGTGCGGGGTGAACTCACGTAAACGTTTGGCCCCTGCCAGAGCCCAAAGGCTAACCTCCTCTTTGATTTTCGTTAGCAGGGAGCTCGTTGCCATCTCTTTATGGTCAAAGATCCTCCGATTCCTCTCTTTCCAGATCTCCCAGACAACTAACAGGATGAGGGATCTAAGTCCCTTCTTCGGAACGCCGGGCGTGTTTGACTTTTTTTCCATGCATTATGACTCATTGATATAGGCTCAAATGAAGGTATTTCAAATAATAATTCATGAAAGGAAGTTCCATCAGCTAGACGAACATACGTATTTTATGCAATGCCTATTTGCCTAGTAGCACTGCATTGAACCTCATAGTCGTCATAGGAATGGCAGTACACTGGTGTTGCAAAATTGGACATCAGATAATTCGTTGAAGACAAACTCAAAGTCTACTGAGAAGACCTATACCAGTCAATAGTTTCTTGGTGACAAAAATTGCAACTAAAATTTTCATTCAATATTAAATATAAGTCCGTTTGATCAGAGTAGCAATTTTTTGGGGTTTTAAACTTATAGTCTCGTTAGAAAGAGGAGGCGAAGGAGAGGAAGAAGACGAAACCAACCAGCAGAAAAGAAGCAACATACTCTTTTCGTTAAAAAAACAAACCTATCTAGGACTAGATGAGACTATCCAGATTCGTTGTAGATTTATATTTTTTTAGATAACATATAGATAGATCTAGGGTTTATAGGGGGTTTACTGTTGCGTGAACAGTGAGGAGGGGAGAAGGAAGAGAGGACACGGTATCTGTAGCCGCGGGGAACATGAAGGAAGGAAGAAGGTGGTGGAGAGGAGAGGGCAGAGAGGACACAGTCATCAGTACCTTGTTGGCGGCTTTGCCAGTGGGGAACTGTGGGATCAATCAGGCCGGCCACCTGAAAATTCCTTGGGATCGCGGCGCGGAAGGGAACGATATGATGAGTCGCGAGCCGGACCAGGATGAGGAAATCTCTATTCCTCGGGCAGCGGGGGAGTCTAGTTCGCGAGAGTTCGTTTGACTCGAACGCACTCTACCAGATAACTGCTGCATACCTGCGAGCGTGTACGTGTGTCACGTAATTAGCATCTAACAGTATTAGCGTAGCGTGTAATTAGGAGTATCTGGCCGCAAACCAATCACTAGGAAATCTCAGCTCCATCCATGCATGCATATCTCTGGCAGCTGAAAAAATTAGTACACCTCCGCGTAATTACCATGGTATTTAATGTACTAATTAATAGCATAACTTTACATTCAGTAATTTCTATCCAAAGTTTTAAACTTGCCGTTTTAGATAAAAGCCTCTTGATTTTTTTTAAAAAAATATATACTCATAAATTTTGTACAGAAATAATACTTTATACTCATAAAATTTACCTAGGAAATAAATTCTATTAGGAAACTTTCTTATGTAATTAAAACAATCTACACATGGGATTAAAAAAGTTAAAAATTTTAAGATTAAACATGAAAAATATTCTATTAAGAAACTTTCTACGTGAAAAATATTCTATTAAGAAATTTTGTACATGAATTATTCTATTAGGAAACTTTCTACATGAAAATTATTCTATTAGGAAAGTTTCTACATAAAAAATAATAGTTTATATTCATAATTCTACATAAAAAATAATAGTTTATATTCATAAAATTTATACATGAATATTTTATATGAGGAAACTTTCTACAAGAATTAAAAAAATTCTACCAACCGGATTTTATTAATTATACACGATATGCACACTTTTATTTATATGATAAAAACTATAATTATGGTAACATCTGCATGGAAAATTATTCTATATACGGAAACATGCATGTCATATCTAGCTTACCTTCATTATGTGCTGGAATTATGTATGTGACGGGAAAAATTTCCACCTCATCAGGAAAAAAGAAGGAAAGTCAGAAATGGAAATATATAGCCGGCCCAACGGACACCTTCGCCGGATTAGGAGTTAGCGAACGTTCGCTAACTAACCATTTCGCCGAAGGACTCCTCTAAACCCGAAAAACAGATATCGTTCACCCTCAACTTTCAATACTGGACAAATTACCCCCCTCAACCCAAATCCAGAGCGGTTTTGCCCTACGTGGCGTACACGTGGCAATTTAGTCAGTATTTTATTTATTAAAAAAATGTTGGACCCACCTATCATACTCCTCTTTCTCTCTCTCTCTCTTCTCTCTCTCTCGCTCTTCCTCTCTCTCCCGGCATACGCACTGCGGTGCGGGGATGGCGGCCGATGGTGGGTGGGGGCGGTTGGTGCGGACGGTGGTGGAGAGGGACGCGGAGGAGGCGGCGACGGCGAACTCGGCGGCGCGGTCGACTGCGCCAATCATGAAGAAATCATGAAACATCCCCCCGCCCCCTCCCCCCAAAAAAAAAAGAAATCATGAAGAAACAGGACAATCTGCAAGTGCCAATCTGTAATATTTCAACACAGTTGAAATGTACACATTTAAAACTTAACTACAACTTAAAGAAATGCTTGAATTGAAGTGCAAATTGAGGAGAATAAAGTGTAGCTGAATGCATTGAGTCACATGAAGAACAACACTGAACCAGCAGTAATTCATTTATAGCATTTCTTCACTAACGAATCTTATTCCTGCTTCACCCGCTTACACCACAAATTAACAGATGCAGGCCATTCTATCTACCAATCAGCACCAGTTTCAACATGAGAACACCATTGAACACAGTAAGAAGAAACAAACGACACAACTGTAGATCAAGGCATGGAACTAATTAGGACAAATGTTGCCGAAAACCTGTCATCGAATCGATCTCAAGGGAGAATCCAAACCGGAGGCGAGTCGATCGACGGGCCTCGCGCCGGGAAGCAGCGGTCCACATGGGGACTTGGTGATTTCGACCATTTGCCGTTGTCGCTGCAGCGGTACGGCAGTTCGTCTGCATCACGATCGAACGCCATGATCGGCTTGCGGAAGCTCCGGTCATCCAAGAAGTAGACGCCCTCCTCCATGCCGGAGTACCTGTCGCCCGCCTCGTAGGATCTGGAGCAGCCTCGTCCGACGAACAGCATCCGGCCTTCGAGCTTGTCCAGCTCGCTCCAGTAGTACTGAAACTGAAACATGCCATTGTAGAGCGGCTCGTCCTCTTCGCCATTGTTGAGCTTTTTCTTCCGGAACACCCGGAACGCCGACGTCGGCAAGTGCTGACGCCCACTGGTCAACTTGACGACCATGAGCAGATTCTTGCGGGACTCCACGAGGTAGCGAGCAAGGACAGTCTCGTTCTTGTCGTGGACGCGCGGCTGGAAGAACATGCCTACCGGGACGAGTTCCACGCCATATTCTTGGAAGACCGGTCGTTCTTCACACGCAAGGATGTGTTCCCCTCGGTCGAGGAAAAGGAAGGCTCCACCATAGAATATGAGGTCCTCCATTGGTGGCCTAAACCAATCCGCCTCTCGATTCATCCCTTCCCAGAACGGCGGTAAGACCATATCATCGCCGATGCGCCAGAACGCAACATGCTGCTCTGCGTGGCCGGGGAAGGGAAAGTATTCGAGGAAGCCGGCGACGATGCATCCCTGTTCAGTTGGCTTGCAGGAGAGGGTGGCGGCGACGATGGCCATCTTGCGGTAGTACCAATGCTGTGGTGACGGATACACTACCACTGCTCCGAAGCGGATCCGATTGGGGAGGTTGAAGTAATGAAAGTTGTTGAGGTTGACGAGGACATGGTCTTGAGCCACTCGACGCGGGTACTCTTGAGCTTGATTTCCTTGTCCATCAACGGCGAGGAAGACCCATTCCCCGTCGTACGAGCCGAAGTAGCGCGCGCGGTGCGCGCCGCGCGGGACGAGGAAGGGGTGGGTGCGGAAGCCGCTGAGGGCGCAGGAGAAGGTAGGCGGCCGGCCGCCGGCTCTCGGGAGGAGGAGCCACGGGAGTGGCGGAGGCGGCGCCGGGGCCCTGACCCTCCGGAGCGCCACGCGCCAGGAGTGGCAGATGCGACTCATGCGGCGGCGGTCGATCTCGCACGGGATGCGGCGGACGACCTCGTACAGGACGTCGTCGTCCGCCGCCGCCCATGGCCGCCGAGGCCGATCAGCCATTGGAGAAGGGAGGGGTTCTCGTGGAGGTTAGGTTAGGGATTCCGCGGCGAATGGCACGAGATGGATGGGGGAATTGGGGACTCGACGAGGAAGACGACGGTTTAAATGCTGGGAGACGAGACGAACGTTAGTTCGATTCCATTTTGCTTCTGGAAGCCGCGGAAATCCGGGAGCGGGCTGCTTTGACGTGAGCCCACCTTTCTTGGCTCGCCTCTTGGATGGGCCGAAATTTATCCGGCCCATATATGTAAAATGGCCTGGATTTTAGTGTAAATTCTGGGCCCACGATATGCTAAGATCGTCGGCTTCCTAATAGGCCCATTGGTTGCTTAGAGTTTCCCGGTCTCTAATCCGACCTGCTTACAGATAATCCGATCGATGTGGTGCAGTGTGATGATGATATTAGGAGCACATTTTTTTTTTGAAAGGAGGGCAAAAGCTTTGCCTCGTATATTAATAGAGGAGTAGGAAAACAAGAGAAAATATGTACAGGGTCAGCCAAAAGCCAACCCGCAAACGGAAAAAAAAACACTAGGTGATATCTCCCAAAATTCCAAACTCCTGTAGCTTTGTCGCTCCAGCTTTAACCTAGGCTCTCCCTCCCTCTTTGATTTTTGCTATAACTGAGGCAGGGGTGGAGGCTGTGCTCCGAAAGATTCTTGCATTACGCTCCCTCCAAATCTCCCAGGACACAAGCATCAGTAGAGTTCGCAGAGGGGCTCGTGGAGTATTAGGGGATTCAGCAACAAAGTTCCACCAAAGTTCGACGGAGGGGCAGTCATTCCATTTGCTCAGTTGGAGGTCAGTTTGTGTCCATTGTTGGATTTCGGTCCAGATTCTCTTAGTGACTCTACATTTGGCCAATAGGTGCAGGGCTGACTCATCCGTTACGCAGCACAGGGGGCAGATCTTTTGATTCTGCCAGCCTCTTTTCCCCAGTCTGTCCGCCGTCCAAAGTCTGTTCTGGGTAGCAAGCCAAGAGAAGAATTGTTATGCTCCATATATTAGGAGCACATATATGGTGCTCGCAGTATAAAGGAAAATGTTTCAGGTGCAAAAATATATATATATATATATATCGTACAAACTCTTTGAAAAACTGATAATGCAAACCGTGATTGCATCTTGACTTCTAATAACTACCAATTGACTAGATGAAATGGTTATGATCTTTATTTGTAAGAGTTTTGTAAAAATGAAAAAGAATAGCAGCATTACTCTAGTACTAGTATAAATCATTCAAACAAGGGACTTTAGACTGCTAGCTGTTACAGAACAAAATTTGACTGCATGCAGAGCAGAGGACACAATTCTCTCTCTCATGCTAACATCTTGAATTAGGAGAAAGGGTACACTAAGGTAGCAAACTGTGTGCAGCAATCGATTAACACATCGATAATTATTGATGGTTTATTGTAAGTGTTTTATGTTGGAAAAGGAAACATATGTACTCCTTTTTCCTCTAACCCCTCCAAAAGAACACAGCAGGTGGAAGTGGAACAATGTCAATAACCTGGTATAATGCTGCATTAATCCTGAGATTTCAACCTCTTCACACACACTTTGCTTCATTTTTTTTAACGACTCGCACGAGACGGTGCGAAGTTCTATTGATAGAACAGGAAAAAATTACAAGATTATAACCCTGGAGGGTCGTAACCAGGAAAAAGAAAAAAATACCACCACACACTTTGCTTTATTGTGCACATGTTACAGGACTAAATAATATATAGTACAATCTAATTTCAGTAGTGTAGATTATTAGCAGTGTAATATGATCATCATGCCAGCAACTAGCTATCATAAAGAAGCAGTACAATCTGCAGGTGTCACAGATTATCACATCTATAATATTCCACAGAGTTTGAGATGCAGATTAAAATTTCAGTACAACTTAAAGAAGCTTGAACTGAAAAGCAAGTTGAAGAGAGTAAAGTGTAGTTGAATGCACCGAGTCACTTCACATGAACCAACAGGCAGGCAACAGCAGGTAGTACAGTATCATTTTGCAGCATTCCTGCTTCATCACTAGCTTACGCCAGAAACAAATGCAGGCCATTCTGTCTATCTACTAATCGGCGACATAATCTTGAATCGGAATTGCAAATTGAACAGAACAGAGTGTAGCTGAATGCACTGAAACGCAATGAAGAATGGTACTGAACCAACAGCAAGTATCATCTGATCCTGTTCATCATCAGCTTATGCTTAGTGCTTACGGAGTACACCACAAACAAACTCTGGCCAGTACCATTGAACTCAGCGAGAAGAAGCAAACGACACAATGTAGATCAAGGCATGAAACTAATTAACTTGACCTTGTTGATCGCGCAACGTTTGCCGATCGAAAACCTGTCGTCGATCTCAACTCAAGGGAGAATCCAAACCGGAGGCGAGTGGATCGATGGGCCTCGCTCCGGGAAGCAGCGCTCGACCTGGCCCTGGGGATCAGTTGGTGCTTTCGACCATTTGCCGTTGTCGCTGCAGAGGTACGGCTGTTTGGGTGCATCACCGCTGATCATCTGGTGGATGCTCGGATCATCCAAGAAGTAGACGCCCTCCCCCATGCCGGGGTACCTGCCATCACCCGCCTCGTAGGATCTGGAGCAGCCTCGTCCGACGAACAGCATCCGGCCATCGAGCTCGTCCAGGTCCAGCTCGCTCCAGTAGTACTCAAAATGAGCAGAGCGATTCTGGGACGGCTCGTCTTCTTCGACGGTGTTGAACTTTTCCTTCTGGAACACCCGGAACGCCGACGTCGTGCGCCGCTGACCCCGGCCACTAGCTAGCCTGACCACCATGAGCAGCTTCTTGCCGGACCCCACGAGGTAGCGAGCAAGAACCGTCTCGTCCTCGTCGTGGACGCGCGGCAGGAAGAACATGTTTACCGGGACCAGGCTCACTGAATCTCTGTAGAAGACCGGTGGTTCTTCGCACGCAAGGACGTCTTCCACTCGGGTGAGGAAATGGAAGGCTCCATTGTGGCATAGGAGGTCCTCCACTTCTTCTAGCCACATCAATGGGTTGTCCTTCTCCAGTGCCCAGAAAACCGGTAAGACCACCTGATCGCCCATGCGCCAGAACGCAATGCTCCGAGTGACATGGCCAACGGCGACGAGGTTGGGGGATGATTCGATGATGCCGGCGACGATGCATCCTTGTTCAGTTGGCTGGCACGAGAGGGTGGCGGCGACGATGGCCATCTCACGGTCACCGTTCGGATTCACTTCATTCGGGTACACTGAGTTGACGCGGGCCAGGTTGGGGAGGTCGAGGGTCTGGAAGCCGTCGATCTTGAGGTTGAGGAGGGCTTGGCGTCGAGCTTGGCCGCCGACGGCGAGGAAGAGCCATCCGCCGTCGTACGAACCGAAGTAGCGCGCGCCGTGTGCGCCTTGAAGGACGGAGAAGGCGTGGGCGCGGCAGCCGCTGAGGATGCAGGAGACGGTGGCGGGCAGCCCGTCGTCGGACTCAGGGAGGGCGAGCCACGGGAGCGGAGGCGGCGGCGCCGGGGCCTCGAGCTTCGCGAGCGCCACGCGCCAGGAGTTGCACACGCGACTCATGTGGCGGCGATCGAGCTCGCACGGGATGCGGCGGGCGACCTCGTGCAGGACGTCGTCGTCCGCCGCCGCCCATCGCCGCCGAGGCTGATCAGCCATTGATCGGAGAAGCAGGGAGGGGATCGTGGAGTGGTTAGGGATTCTTCGGATCGTGGAAGCTAGGGATTTCTGCGGCGAATGGGGCACGAGACGGCGGGGAGACGACGACTCGACGAGGAAGACGATGCGGAAAAAAATTTAGTGCATCCCGGATGCAAACAAACTCATCTGCAGCCCTGACTCGGATGACCAACACGTGGACAGACTACAAATCCGATGGCTCTGTTGGCTCGGCTCAAGATGGGTGCCGCAACAAACGACTCACGGGGCCCGCTCGGCGTGGCTCGTCTCCAGGCCCGTCGGCTCCACAATCCCCTCCGTCCTGTGCCGCCGCTTTCGCCGGAAGGGAGCCCGGCCTGATGATCCGCCGCTTTCTTGTTCATTTTTCTTTCTGCTCAGAATTGGATTTGACATGTCTTTTCTCTGTGTTTTATTTCATGATTGGAGATGGATCTTCGCGTGGCTGGACAGCGAGAAGCGAATTGCTAATTGGCGTCATGCGACTATGAGACAGCATAGATATTTAACAAGGGAAAATAAATCAGAATGGTACGAAGTAGAAAATAAGGAATTGTATATTCTGAATTTGGCAATCTCCTCTTACAATTGTTTGAGAACTGGAACAGCGGTAGCAGAAGAATTCCATCAGCACATAAATCTAATGAAAAGTTTTGAAATTCAGACATCTTCAAGAGGAGAATTGACGAGCCTACCGATCGATGAGAAACAAAACAAGTCAGATTGTTTGCTTCATCTGAAATTCTGAATGATCTGTCATTGGCTAACTGAGTAACTGGAAACCCCAGTGGTGTGTGGCGCACTGGCCCTGTGCTTTGTTTCTTTCAGTTTGTTTTGTACTATACCTTGTATTGTGTTTTGTCTTTCTTCTGATTTCTGAAGCCGGATTATATGATCTGCCTTCTAAAGAAATCCGAAATTCTGAAAGAAAGCAGCTTCGTGTCTAGTTTGTCTCACCCTGTTCAGAAATCATAACAAGCCGTTGTCTTGTCTCGTGGTTATGGGTAGGCGCGCACGCATCTATACGACGGCAGAGGAGCGCATATTATCCAATGAGTCAGTGGAGAGCACGGACGGCATGGTTATCTCCTTCAAAGGTTGAGACAACTGCTAGCTCATAAATCGTACACATCATCTAAGAGATGGAACAAGAGATAGTTTCTTTAATGAACTGTCTCTAAGGTTATCTCTTCTTGCTTTTTTGGCAGCATGGGTAGTAAATGACATGGTGATAAACTACATAATATCTCTATGGTCCTTCATGTGATGCTATTCAAAAGATCTGTCGATTAAAAATGAACATCTCATCATAGTGTGAATATAGATAAATAGCACAACATCGACTTAGAGTATATTTAGCATTAAGTGCAATTCTTCCAACTCACGGTCCACTACAGCAACCAGATAACATCATAGCCATATCATGGCACTTTAGTATAATGCGGAAAAGAGCAAACTGAAGGGAAAAAAAAAGACTGCATCACGTCACATAAGTGATAGAAGAGTTCGACAACCACCAAAAGCTGGACAGCAACCAGAAGTGCTTATCCCATTCCTTGAACAAGATCATCAAAAGCTGGACCGCAGCCACAAAAACAAGTGAAAGACATCGAATCTGTTCTCCCCTGGTAGAGAGAAAAACATGTAAAGTAAGTGAAAGTGATGAATACAGTCAGTCTAAAATAAAATTACAATGAAATTGTACACTAGAGCTTACATTATACTGAAATAACAGTGACTAATTATTTTGCCTAGTTTGAAACCGTTGCCAAATATGCTCAATTAAGTCATTTTTAAGCTGGCTATGGATTGGTTTGGCTCGGATAGAAGCATTTCTTCGCCGCACATCGCTGAAGCTTAGGTGATCATTACTCCCTGCATGAACTTATGGTGGAAGAACAATTGATGTTCCTGGGGCAGCATTCACGTCAATAGGATTTTGGCGTGGAAGAGTCGACTGTTGTCTCTTGCGCAGGCTCATACGGCATCGGTAACTGAGTGAGATAGGCGTGGGAATAGGAGATAGATGGATTGATTTTTTGCCTTCTCTTTCCTCCACATAGGATACATGATGACGTGGACATGTTATGAGATAGCTTACATGGCACCATTGGAGGAGGCCAGACCAAGGCGGATTCGTATGAGTTTGCCAGAGCGAGCGTGGCAGCGCGGCGGCTTTATCCTGCCTGACATGTCGCCGTCGCCGTAGGGTTCGCATGGCGGCCATCGACAAGCGTCACGAGCGGCATTAGCGTCAGACCGGCGGAGACGAGGAGCCAACAAGCCTGAGAGATGAACCGACGGGCTTGTAGCCGAGCCGAGCCGCGCCGAGCGACCTTTGTGGCAATATCCTTGAGCCGAGCTGAGAGAGCCATCGGATCCATGGTCTGCCCACGTGTCAGTTATCCGAGGCGGGGCTGCAAATGAGTTTGTTTGCATCCGGGATGCACCAAATTTTTTTCCAGACGATGCGGAAAAAAAGTTGGTTTGATTCGATTTTTTTTTTTTGGCTTCTGGAAGCCGCGAAGATCCGGGAGCAAGAAGCGATTGAGCGAGCTGCTTGCTACTGTCGCTTGATGGGCCGGATAGTTTCGGCCCATATATGGAAGGACCTGGATTTTAGTCTAAATTTTTGGCCCATAATATTTTAAGACTGTGGGCTTCCATTTAGGCCCGTGTGATGCTTTTTAACGTAGACTTGTACCGTTGCACGTCTCACTTTGGAATCTCGCTTTTGCCTGATTAGAGACAATCGGATTCGGACGATTAATTAGTGTGGTGATGACATTAGAAGCAACGTAGTAGATATCATTATTGAGCATATAGTTCCATTATCAGATTATTTTCAGATGACAATCGGATTATTTGGTCAAAAAATTTTCAGATGACAACTTGATTATATCAGTATTGTCGTAGACAGGTCACTATTGTCAGGTTTCAGTTCTCTGAACTACTGCGCTCCAAAGAAAAGTTTGTCTTCAAGACAGGGAAGGTAGACTGCCTGAGTTGTAGGACCGAAATCTGGTCATTGAAAATCAAAGCACAATCACGCACATGTCCACATTGAAACTATGAGTTGCAACACAAGAATATGCTAACATCTTGGATTATCCAAAAGGCAAAAAGCTGTGCAGCAATTGAAGTACACATTGACTATCTCTGGCTTGCTAAAAGACTACAAATTCGGTACAATTCAAAGAAGCTTGAATTAAAATGCAAATTGAAGACAATAAAGTGTAGCTGAAATGCTGAATCTGTAAAATTTTAACAATCTGCAGGTGTCAAAGATACACTGATCTGTAAGATGCACATTGCAAATTCAGTACAGCTTAAAGAATCGCGAAAAAAAAAGTACAGCTTAAAGAAGATTGAACTGAAATGAAAATTGAAGGCAACAAAGTGTAGCTGAAAATGAAACGTAGAATGCAGTGAGACTCGTGAAGAATATCACTGAACCAAAACAGCAAGTCATCTATAGCATTTCAGCACTAACTGAATCCTTCTTTCAGTTTAACACCACAAACATATGCAGGCCATTCTAACTGCTGATCAGCAGCAGTCTCAACATGACAACATCGTTGAACTCAGAAAGGAGAAGCAAACGACAAAATGTAGATCAAGAAAACAAACAAAAGACGTTGCCAAATCGATCCTGTCGTCTCAACTCTCAAGGGAGAATCCAAACCGGAGGCGAGTACTTGGATCTCGACTGGCCCCGCTCCGGGAAGCAGCGCTCGACCTGGGAAGGTGGTCTCGAACATCTCCCGTTGTCGCTGCAGCGGTACGGCTCCTTGGGTGCATCGCCATCGAACCCCACGATCTGGTCGTGGAAGCTCCGGTCATCCAAGAAGTAGACGCCCTCCATGCCAGGGTACCTGTAGTCGCGCGCCTCGTACGATCTGGAGCAGCCTCGTCCGACGAACAGCATCCGGCCATCGAGCTCAGACATCAAGCTCCACAAGTTCTCCCCAAACTCGCCGTCTTTGTGTTGGAACACCCGGAACTCCGACGACTGAAGATCAGAGCGAAACCTGACGACCATGAGAATATCCCCTCGGGACTCCACGAGGTAGCGAGCAAGGACCCGCTGGCCGCTGGATCCGCGCGGCTTGAAGCGCACCAAATTCGAGAATACTGGCACCATTGGCGGGTCATCTCCATGGAACATGGGTTGACACACGTAAATGTTTTCCCCATCGGTGAGCAGAAGGAAATTTTCATGGCCTTCCCTTCCCTTGAAGTATATGAGGTCCTCCACTTGCTCCGGTGGCCACGCCTCCGCGAAAACCGCCGAGACGACGCGATCGCCCATGCGCCAGAACGCGACTCCGCGGAGGAGGGCCTGAGGAAGTACGATGATACCGGCGACGACGCATCCTTGTTCAGTCGGCGGGCACGAGAGAGTGGCGGCGACGATGGCGATTCTCTCGAGATCCTGCGCTTCCGGAGGGAGATCCCAGTTGAGGGGGATCGCGTTGGGGAGGTCGAGGTACTGGAAGTTGTTGAGGTTGACGAGGACGTGGTCTTGAGCTTGGACTGCTTGGTCTCCTTGCGGGCCGTCGATGGCGAGGAAGAGCCAGGCGCCGTCGTACGAACCGAAGTAGCGGGCGCGGCGCGCCGCGTGCGGGAGGAAGAAGGGGTGGGTGCGGCGCCAGCCGCTGAGGACGCAGGAGAAGGTAAGCCCGTGCTCGCCGTCGACTTCCGGGAGGAGGAGCCACGGGAGCGGGGGAGGCGGCGGCGGCGCCGGGGGCTCGGCCTTCGTGAGCGCCACGCGCCAGGAGCGGCAGACGTGGCTCATGCGGAGGCGGTCGACCTCGCACGGGAGGCGGCGGACGATGTCGTCGAGGAGGTCCTCGGAGAGGTACGCCCATCGGCCCATGGCCGCCGGCCGCCGCCGAGACTGAGCGGCGCCCATTGAAGACGGGAGGGGAAGGGAGTGGAGGTTGGCGACTCTGTGTCGGTGTGGCGAATTGAAAGGCGAATGGCACGAGACGAGAAGACGATGCTGCTATTTATATGGTTTTTTTTACTATGTTGGTTTTAGTTTGATTCCCTTTTTTTCTGGAAGCCGTGGAGGAAGCGAGCTATGTCTTGCAAGATTTGCAACTTGCGGTCTAGCAGAGTTAACAGGGGAAAAATGCACTTGCAACTTGCAGAATTTTTTTAAAATAAGAAAACGAAAAGAGAGAGAGAGATACTTTCAATTTGCAAACTCCTTGCCGTAGTGGGCCGCTTTGCCGCCTGGCCAATTTCCAGCCCATTTCTGTGGATGTCCCTTGAGTTAGTTAGTCCAAATTTGGTATTTGCGCCCGATCTCTGATCCGACTTGCCCTACCAGGTATTTGGTATTTGGGCGCTTAACATATACTGGTACATGGTGCCTGGAGATATTATGAGCGTGATAAAAACATGGATTCATACATTCATAATAAAGATGATAAGTGATAAATCAATAGGAAAATATTCTAAATTATCGAGAGGATATATTCTGTTGTTTGTATGCCATGGTTATGAATTCATAACCCTCGAGAGGATGGTTATGAATTTTTTATATGAAAATCAACAGGAAAGATTAACCTGATTAGTTATATCATTCCCGTGGCACATGTCAGTATACCTGACACACATGATAACGGATTGCTGCGTTGGACATATGGATGCTAAGAAAAATTAGTCTTCGATCAAGTCTCCTCTCTGCATTGGACACTAATACATGCTAGAATTGTTAATTCTTCAAGCAGGGGAGAATGGGAGATTAACAAGGCTGCCAGAGTTACAGACCAAAATTGATTGTATGCAAATCCACTTTAAACAGGGAAGAGGACACCACTTTTTACATCCATGTGATCTGGTCACAGAGTGTAATAAGCACAACCATGAACATTTCCACACTGAAATTATCAGTTAATTGCAACACAAGGATATGCCACCATCTTGAATTATCCAAACAAGTAGTAGCAAAATATGTTCATCAAATAAGTACGCATCGATCATTGACTCACTGCTGGCTTGCTGCAAGGCTGCAAGTGACTTTTATTGTTGGAAAACAAGTCCAGCTTCAGTCCTTCAACTTTTGCTCAAAAGTCGAGTTAGCCCTTAATGTTTTATAGTGTCCAAACAAGTCCCTAAAGATTATCGTGCGGCTTAATATAGTCCTTGGACCCACTTAAAATACCATGTGGACATGCCACATCATTCATGCATGTAAAGTTCACATTTAAATGTCCATTTTAACCTTTTATTTTTTATAAAAAAACATTGGGAAAAACAAGAAGAAGCAATCATAAAACAAAGGAAAATGCCAAAAAAAATTTTGTTACCAATGCTACATCTTTTTGCCAATGGCCAAAACCTTTTTTTTTGTTTTTTCTCAATAGTTTTTCTTTATTTCCTATGAAAATGAAGGGTAGAATGGATATTTAAATATTGCATTTGCATTCATAGATGATGTGGCATGTACCCATGATATTTTTAGAGGGTCCAAGGACTATATTAAATCACACAATGAATTTTAGGGACTTGTTTGGACAATACAAAATGTCAAGGACTAAATTGATCCTTAAGCGAAAGTTCAACCGTCATGTTGGTTATTCACCCGCTAATTAACAACTGAAGATTAATCAGTAGTTAACTCAGATGGATAATACTAGTAGCATACTAGCATCGAACTGATCAGCAACCATGGAAGTGGAACAAGGCCTAGCCTACAGGCACAATAATCTTGCAGACATACTTCATTGTGCACATGATCTAGGACTAAATATTGCATAAAAACGTAAGTCACAACTTCAGAAGTTCAGATCAGTTACTATCATGTTAGCAACTAGCAATTCATTTTAGATTCAAAAGTGTCGTAGATGAATGCACTGAGATAGGCGAAGAATACCACTGAACAATCAAACAACAGCAAGCCATTTGAAGCAATTCAGAACTAAACAAATACCGATTTCAGCTTATACCACAAACAGATGCAGGACACTCTATCTTAGTACTAATCAGCAACATGAGAACATCATCGAACTCGGCAAGAAGCTAGGCATGAATTGAGCACGTATTAGCAATTTAGTATGCATGATCACAGCACAAACTAACTAACTGGCCGGATCTGTCGATCAACGACGTTGCCAAAGCCTGTCGTCTCAAGGGAGAATCCAAACTGGAGGCGAGTACTTGGATCTCGGCTGGCCTCGCTCCGGGAAGCAGCGCTCGACCTGGCCCTGTGACTGGGAAGGTGATTTCGACCATTTGCCGTTGTCGCTGCAGCGGTACGGCAGCTTGGGTGCATCACCAATGGCGGCCTCGACGAAGCTCCGGTCATCCAAGAAGTAGACGCCCTCCATGCCGGCGTGCCCATCGGCCGCCTCGTAGGATCTGGAGCAGCCTCGTCCGACGAACAGCATCCGGCCTTCGAGCTTGTCCAGCTCGCTCCAGTAGTACTCATGAAACTGAAACGCGTCTTCTTCTTCTTCTTCTTCGCCATTGCTGAACTTCTCTTTCTGAAACACCCGGAACTCCGACGTCGGCAAATTCTGACAACGCCCGCTAGCTAGTCTGACCACCATGAGCAGACTCCCTCGGGATTCCACGAGGTAGCGAGCAAGGACCTGCTCCTCCTCCTCGCCACGGCGCCGGCGCTGGAAGCGCCACAGTATCCGCTCGGGATATTCATGGAAGATTGTTAGCTCTGGGCACACACGAATGTGTTCCTCTTCGGTGAGGAAAAGGAAGTCCTCATCGAGGTAGAGGAGGTCCTCCACTTGTTCCAGGGGAGAAAGCCACACCATCTGCTCTGCCTCTGAGAACAACCGATCGCCCATGTGCCAGAACGCGATTTGGTGGTGGGAGAGAAAGGAATTGATGATACCGGCGACGATGCATCCTTGCTCGGTTGGAGCGCGCGAGAGGGTGGCGGCGACGATGTCGACGTTCTCGGGATCAATCCAGTCGAAGTGGAAGATCGCGTTGGGGAGGTCGATGTACTCGAAGTTGTTGAGGTTGACGAGGACGTGGTCTTCACCTCGGGGTCCTTGGCCATCGACGGCGAGGAAGAGCCAGGCGCCGTCGTACGAACCGAAGCAGCGGGCGCGGCGCGCCGCGTGCGGGAGGAAGAAGGGGTGGGTGCGGCGCCAGCCGCTGAGGGCGCAGGAGAAGGTAAGCCCGTGCTCGCCGTCGACTTCCGGGAGGAGGAGCCACGGGAGCGCGGGCGGCGGCGCCGGCGCCGGGGGCTCGGTCTTCGTGAGCGCCACGCGCCAGGAGCGGCAGGCGCGGCTCATGTGGAGGCGGTCGACCTCGCACGGGATGCGGCGGACGATCTCGTACAGGAGGTCGTCGGAGAGGTGCGGCCATGGCCGCCGCGGAGACTGAGCAGCGCTCATTGGAGACGGGAGAGGGGAGGGAGTGGAGGTTGGCGACTCTGTGTCGGTGGCGAATTGAAAGGCGAATGGCACGAGATGAGAAGATGATGAGCAAACGAGGAAGACGATGCTACTGTATATATGTTGGTCGTTTTGATTCCATTTTGCTTCTGGAAGCCGCGTTGGAAGCGAGCTGCCAGGGAGAGCCGGGCCGGGGAGAGGCGGCGCTGCCGGGGAGGGGAGGTGCGGGGAGAGACAGGTGACGCCGGGGAAGAGACCGCCAGGGAGAGAGAGAGGAGGCACTGGAGAGATTGGGGAGATAGGGTGAGGAGATGAGGGGGTTGATGTTTATATATGTTTGTGATTTCTAGGGGGTATACTACAAATATTGGACTTATATATGAATAAAAATAATCTAAGGGCTTAAATGCAAAATGTGACTGACAGACAAGTACTGAATTGCAAAATAAGATGGAGATATGGCTTACACTATATGAGGCATATCCCTAGCTGAGTCCTTGATCACTTTTGCTCACGTGGATGGGGCGAGGGGGGCTCCCTGTATTGAGCATGCCCTTAACTATTTGCCACTTTTGCTTACGTAGCATGTCAGCGTGGCAAACTTGGATGAAAAACGGTGTGGGACCCACTCGTCAGTCTCTTCCTCCCATTCATCTCTCTCCCCGTGTTCGTGTCCCGCGCCAATGGCTACCGCCGCTATCCTGAGCCCATCCCGACGCGTCCATGGGCGTCGCAGCCATCCTAAGCCCATCATGACGCGCCTGAGAAACCTAGCACGCGTCGAGGCCTCTACTATCCCGACGAGCCCCGGGATCGAGCAGATCAGATGCTATCCCTCGGCGCTCCCGCGCCCATCGCCGCCTCCACACCATCCGCAACTATCAACATGCCACTACTATCCCGGCGAGCCCTCGGCAACTCAGTAGGTTGAGGTTGAGCATGCCGTGCTGCTGCTGCTCGGCCACGGCCTCGGCAACGCTGAACAACATGGCCTTGGCTGTCACGGAGGTGGAACAGATGGGCGCAACGGGGGACACGCGTGGCGCCGGGCCAGCGGGTCGGCGTTGCAGGGGGCGCACAACACCGCGGCGTCGGCCTTGCAAGTGACGGCGGCGGGCGCCATCTCACACAATCACACCCGCTCGTGCGCCGTCCGCACGTGGTACACCCCACCGCCGCGCGGTAGTACACAGTCCCCGGCGACGCCTCACACACCCCGCACTGCCGCCCGCCCACGCCCTAGCTCTGCGCCGTGTTCGACGCCGTCACGCTCACCGTCATAGCGGCGGCGGCGATGGCCAAGGATAGTGACATGGGCCCGACTAACGCCCACGCCCAGCTTGCCGCCTCCGTTCACAACGCCGGCAATGGTCGGCTGTGAGGCGGCGCCGACGATGTCCCTGCCGTCGGGGAGAGAGATGAAGGAAAGGAAGAGACTAACGAGTGGGTCCCACAACGTTTGTCACCTAAGTTTGTCACGTGGACAAAAGTGGTAAATAGTTAATAAACCATCTCTTTAGAGGGGCAAAATATTAAGTGTAAATCTAAAAAGGGCATTTAGATAATTGCCAAATCTAAAAGTGGCAAATAGTTAAATTCCCGGCTGCCAAGTGCCAACAACGGTTTCAAAAGATATGAATTTCTGGGCCGTTTCAAATCACTTATAAAACTGGGCAATGCCAGGATAAAAATGGTCACGGGAATTTCTAATTGACTGAGTGTGTTTTTGACCGTCGCTTCTAGCTATATATAATTTTTGTTTTCTTTAATTTTTTTCCTGTATCGTATTAATATTGACATTGAAAAGTTTTAATGATATGAGTAAAGTATATAGGAGGTCTTTAAACTTGTAGGGGGTGTGTCATCTAGATCCCTAAACAATCAAATTCCATATCTAAGTCTCAGAACTTGTCATAGTGTATTATCTATGTCTCAAATCACCATAACCTCTTCAGTATCCTACGTGGCGTTGATGTGGCATGCCACACGGACATGACATGGCATCATTTTTATTGACAAATGGAACCCATTTAAAATTTTTCCTTTTTCATTTTTCTTCTCTTTTTTTCCCTTTCTTCTCCTTTCTCTGTCACCCAAGCAGAAGAAAGGAAAAAAGAAGAAGAATGAAAAGAAAAAAAGAAAAAGAAAAAGGAAAGAAAAAAAAGAAAAGGACACGTCACGTCCATGTGACATGCCACATCAGCACTACGTAGATCCTAGAGGGGATGTGTCGATTTAGGACTAGATGACTTTGACAAGTTATGGGACCAAGATATACATTTTGAGAGTTTAGGGATCTATATGACACAACCCTACAAGTTCAAAGACCGCTAATGCATTTTACTCTAATGATAAATATGACCAATTACCAGTTAATCGAGCGTCGTTTCCGAATATATTGCTACCAATCCGGACCGTTTCCACCCCACACCCCACCAGGTATAGTATTTTTTTTATTTACCAACTACTCATCATATTTTTCTATCAACTAGTTCATATATGATATTATCTTATTTTCATTTGTGCAATATTTGACATCTATACAGATGAAATTCTCCAAAAAAAAACTCACTATTTTGATCCGTAATAAAGAATGTGTATATTTAGCTAGTTTCTTTTATCGTTTTAACATTCAAATAATTATGTCAAAACAATTATTAAAATACACGTGCTTCTTTTCCACGCTTATTAAAAGCATTCAAACAATTATCTAAAAACCTCACTATTAATAGAGAGATTCTTTTTCTCACTGCCCTCATCAATACAGCCATAATAGTATACTACTCTCACAGGAAAATGCAATGCTTTTCTTTGGGAAGGATAGTTTAAATATAAAATTAACAAGCAAAACACATGTGCATTGCAACAAGTGAAAACCAAAGATATTATCACTTGTGGCACTTAACGCATATGTAAAGTAGGGAAAAACTAAACTATCAACCTTAGTCAACAACTTAATAATTAAAAATTTCATATACATTCTATGTTTTAAAATTTTACGTAAATTTGTGCTCAAAATGTACAGGAGTAGGGTTTTATGAAACATTTAGACCATAAAACCTATGTTTATGTGTCACACGTTATAACACCAGTCGTTTTCTACAACTTTGTTGTTTTTTCGAAATTTAAATAAAAAAAAGGAGAAGACGAAACCCGAAGGTCATCCTCAGCAGTGGCGACCGGCGAGCGATGGTCATTGGTCACTGCTCCACCCTTTACTGCTAAATCGATTCCATGGGAAGAGTAACCCATCCGACCCTGTTTAATATCACTCCTTTGATCATCAGCGGCGGCGGTGTCTTCTTGCTCGGGGAAGGGCTGCGCCGCCACAGTTAGCCTATGGAGTCGCCGTGTGCGTGTGGGGAAGGAGAGGAAGAAAGGAAGGGAGAAGAATAGAGATGAGAAGCTGACATGTGGGTCTCACTGCTGAGTCAGCCGGTTGGACCGGGTCAAAACCCCATTTTAGTGAAACTGTCATCTAAAATCACTGAGGGTCATTTTGGTTTTAGAGGGAGTCAAAGTGAACTTAATCCATTCCGAGGCGTGCACGATACGGCTTGGGCCTAGAAGGCCCATGTAAGGAGGGCCTTTTTTGAGATGGATCCGAATCTCGAGAGGCTGCATGGGAGATGGCCAGATGGCCAGTTAGTATGGTGGGCCCACTTGTCAGCACGGAAGCCTCCAGCCCTCCCTCTCCGACTCCCATTCTCCCGTCCCCCAAATTCGCATCTCTACCCTCGCCGACGGCGGCCAAGCACCACCGCCGTCGTCCTCCGCCACCTCGCCGTCCTCTACCACGACGAGCCGGTGTCCGCCGTTGCCCTCCTCGAGTTCGACCCCGTTCATCTCATCCGTCGTCCTCCGCGAGATAACTCTCCATCGCTGAATCGGGCGATGTCGAAGCAGCTGGTGTCGCGGCTGCTGGGGATGTTCCGCTCGCGGACGCAGGTGCCAGGTGGGCGCCGACAAGTTCGGCAACCGCTACTTCACCCGCGTCGAGGAGGTCGACGGCGTCAGTACGTCTCCCTCCCCGCCCCCATCCCCTCCTTCAATCCACTCTCGTAGGCTACATCAATGGCGGCTCATTTCTTGGTTTGGTGTGTGTGGTTGCTTTTTCTCGATGGCTTTTTTGACCAGTGGAGGAGAAACGGTGGGTGGAGTTCAAGGGGAGCGACCAGGATCAGACCACTGTTCAAGGTTACCTCTCAGTCGATGAACTTCAACTTCTAGCTTGTGTAGAGAACCTGATATGATTACTGACTTTGCACTTTGTTTCTGCAGGCATGTGTGGTTTGTGAACCTTTGATTCTGATTTCCGAAGTATGAATCGACGTGCTTGGATTTTTCTGATAGTTGTGTCACACTTGTAGTTGAGTGGATTTGCTGGTTGAATGGACAAAGGAAGAAAGCTCCGACGCCAGAGGTGAGATTATGGCCATGCTCCACACATGATTTTCTGCAAATATTTTGAGCAGGCTATTGATGTACAGCATGTCTCCATTTATACTATGTAGGTGACATTTTGATTTCATCTGATTGTGATGTATCACTGCACTATTGTAGGAGTTGGCTGAGCTGGAAGCGAGGCGTGAACGTGTCAAGCAAAATATTGAATGTATGCATAACATGATTACAGATTATATCCTCTCTAATTCTTTTCTCCTTAACCCTACATTAATAATAAGAAGGTGTTCTTTACTTTTCTTGTTAAGCCTACATTAAGCAGCGCACAAGTTTTCTTTTGCTGATGTTGCGGTGGTGGTTACTGGTTGGCTTGTTTTACATATGTTGCTGATTTATGTTGTGGGATAATTGTAATGTTTGGGCTCAAGAATAATTCATAACATTTGTGTAATGCATATTGTTTGTTTGGTGACTATACATGAATTACTGTTACTTACCGTGTTTTAGAAAAACCAACTTAAATGCATCCAGCCATGCATCTTGGGATTGATGGCAAAATGCTTTATTGCCTTAACTTTCAGTTTATCTTTTAAAAAAAAGTTACTACAGTATGTTTACTCATGTGTAGCATTATAGGATACCTATTGGTTCTGTTAAGCTTACGTTCGGAAATGACTATGCTACATGCAACTTCCATTTAAAAAACAATGAAACTACACCATGTAATTTTGTCCTACTTCCCACCGATCTCACTTGTAGAATTATTACTGGTTAGTGGGAAAATGTAAATTACATACATATGCGCCATAATCATTCTGTTATTGTGTTCTTGAATGTTCATGGATTTTGCTCCACTAATATTTTAATCT